TTCAGGTGAATGTTATCTCATCCATCGTCGATGCATACGCACACTCTACGCAGCTCAGTGTATGTACTACAAATTTAATGAGCACTCTCGTGCAGACACACCATCGATTACTTAATATTTGTTATTGGGTTCGAAAAAGTGAATAAATTTTTTTTTCTGTTTTCATTTACTATTCTTTTATCGTGTGCATTGCACTTGCACCTTCTCTGACCGCTTTTTTTTCTTTCTTTCGTTTTTACGTCTGTTCGATCGCTCGTCCAATTGTTCGTTTTGTTTCATTGTTGCTCTCATTTTCGAATTGAACGCAAACAGAATAGTGGTGTAGCATTGTCGAGAATCTAAAGCAACGCCACTTACATGCTTGTTATATCTACGTTGTTGCTCTGGGTGTGTTTTGTTTTTGTTAAGAACATGAAATGTCGAACAAATTTCGATGACTGCCAAGGTCTTTCACTTTTCCAACTGTCAAAGGAAAGTCGCATTACTTGAATATTGTACGTGGTTTGGTTTTTTCTCTGTTGTTCAAGTCGAACAGAGAAGCAAATAGCTATCACATTATACCACCTTTTCTACAACGATCAAGCCAAAATCAATGTCACTTTTTATGGGCAAACACACAAACACAAATAATTCCCTGTTCAACTTTTTTTCTTCAATTTTTCTCCATCAAACGATATCATGTTAGAAATTTATGGTCGACTCGAGTAATCACGTACATATCTGGGGCGATAGTAATAGTGTACATTCAATTGCTTGCACTAATCTGGAATATTTACTCGATCACTTCGGTATGAAGAGTTCCGAACGGTATGTAGCATAAATGGAAACTAAACTGAGTATACATTTGTGTGCAGAATTTACTGTTTGGTTTTTGAGTGAATTTCGTCTGTCAATGGGTGCTAATAATGATCGGAATTTGAAATTTCAAACGATGACCGATCCTCTTTCGGCTTAAAGTATGCACTTGGGCTTGCCCACACATAGCCAATGGTTGTTGTTGTTGTGTTCTAACACAAGAGAGAGACAGACGACGGGTGATGGCTTTTGAAATGGTGAGAATGCCCGATAAATGGGATTATACGACAGATCTACGACACTTGTCACTAGCTTCGACTATTTGAAGACAAATATTTACCTCGGATATAGTATATTCTATCTGTTGGTTATGTTAATTGAAAGAGTGATGGTCAAAGAGAAATGACAACGAAACTGAGTCAAAATTAACACCTTCAAACATTTTGCCAGCATCTCATCCGATTTGCAGTCGACAAACTTCACGATGATGTGTACTCGTTGAATTCAAGTGCTTACATTTGATCGATTCAAGTTTGATCAAACTACGTGATCTATGTTTTCTGCATAGTGCTACCGATCGGAACAACGATAGTTTTGCGTTTCTTCAATTGAAACCAGTCCCATGTTCATGAGCTGCACATGAATAAATGGCAAAACATATTGAAATATTGCCATAAGTAAGGGAGCCAATTCATATGTCCAATATTAGAATCAGTTTATTTATGATTTCTACCTGTATTTTTGAAAATAGAGGCAAATAAATAGCAACATCAGCTTCTTTTTATTGGCCATAACCTGCATATGTACAAAACCATTAAATGTCGTGAAATAAAAAACAAGATCAATTTGACTACAAATTTTTCGTATATTGTATTTCTTTAACACCATCAACTGGATCCATCCAAGCGAATAAAATAAAATCGGTATCGGAATCTGCTGAAATTGCATAATATGTGCTTCTTTCGTGATGGAACTGGCTTTCGGTGATATTTTGGTCATAATATTTCTATTAGGTATTCATGACACTCTGAATCTCTTTAAAAAACCCCATTTAAATGACGAATTTTTTTTTTCGCTTCTCTGTGGACTGAGCCGCTCGATGACGCAGTCAACACATGGCCAGTCATAAATCTCACCACTTGAGGCAATCACATGTGTGTTTTGAATTATTTTATTTTTTGTTTTTTTTTCTGCAAAATGCACGTTATTTGGATTTTTTGATTTCGTTCATCAAGATTAGAGCGGGCAGCGACCAAATATTTTTAAGAGATAAATCATGTTGCAATAAAAAATGTTTGAAAAAAGACACCATTAGCCAAAATATTTTTTTCTTCATAATTTTGTTTTTTGAAATCATAATAGACCATTTAAGCAACGACACTTGGCATCATTGCTTTAAATGGTAGTATGTACGATGCTGGCAGCTAGCATATATTTTTTATAGCCGATTTTCATCAGAGAAATAAAAGAGTCTCTGGAATAAAAATATTACTTTTATGAAGCATACGGAATTTTTCGTGTTTTTATGCGATTTATGATTGGACAAAGAGTGAAGGTTTATGTGGCAGAGCGGCGTTCAAGTTGATTGTTTATGAAATTGGTCGCGCGGTTGTTCACGTGTTTGGAAATCGATACATGGCAATTGTAAGAAAACCCGAAAACTATTACTCAATCATTTCGTGTTTTAAGATGCGGGCGACAGCAACAACGAGTTGCTGTTGTTGTTGCTGCTGCTGCTGCTGCTGTACGGTGACACTGCATCGAGTAATGCCTGATATTGTTGGAAAATGCGAAACAAATCAAGAGAAACGGATCATGAGCGCAGGTGACTCGTAAAACTACATATTACGATGGTTCTCTTCTTCTGGGACACTGGCCGCATCTTTCCGACTCGATTTCAACATTCATGTTCGGTATCATTGCGTGTTTTTGTCAATAAAATTTACATTTAATCGCTTAGCACACAAACGAATTCTGTCTCATAGGTTTTCTTGTATGGAAATGCTCATTAATATTGTGACAAAAAAAAGAAACTTTCTCTGTTCGACCTAGCTGGCTGCATTTCATTCTGAATGACGTAACAGTTTCCATTTCATTAAAAGCGACGATTCCATTTGAATATATATATTTCCATCTTGTTGATTTGTTCGTTGCGTAGATCATTCTCTCATTTCAAGCTAGTTTTTTCTCGTCAAGTATTTTAGCTACACTTGAGCTCATTATCTCTTCGCCGATTTTGTACATGCTGCGTTGACCTAAACGCATTTGCAAATCATGCCACTGAGAAAAACTTCACAACGCACGTATCATTTTCTTCATGGTTGGCACTCTTCCTATTCCGGCTCAGGTCTTATCGCAAGTTCAAAGGGCCGCAACATCAGCCAACTCACTTGAAAAACAAATGCGTTGACTTGCCCGATTTAGCAACTATCACGCCTTCGACCACGGAAGACAATAGCTTCGATTGACGTTTCTCCATTTTATTTTCACTATTCGCACTTGATTCGGTTGTATAATTGCGATATTTTATTTCTCTACATCTTTAGATTTCGGTCAAGCAATAAATAAGAGAAACTTCAAATAATCGCTGATATACTCTTAACTAAATCGCGACATGTAGATCAGGAATCGATAGTCAATTTTGTGTCTGTATCTGTATGTTTGTGTTTTTTCTTCTTTTTTTCTTCTTTTTTCTTCGCTCTTTAAGCGTGTATCGATTTGGGCGAATCTACATGCAACAAGCGTGTGACGTATGCTAAACCGACAGCCAATTTTGTGCAACCTCTTGCCGCTTCCAATGGATTTCACTACGAAAAAAAAATCCATCGGTGATCATGACATTATTCATTATATCGTTTCTTCGTCGGATTTCATTACAACGCGATTTGTATGTGTTGTCTTTCTCTTTTGCTCTGTCGCTCTGAATACTCCAATGCAACCCACTTGCCAGAGCTTCTCTTGGTCAAACCAATGCTTCCATATCGGTTTTAATTAACATCACCCGAAAGAAGTTCCAAAAGTTGTCCACTGTCACTCGATCGTATAAAATTGCAAAATTGCAGGTAGATTCACACACATCATATTTTAGACCATTTACGTTTAATAACAAAATCGGCATTTTTTGAACTTTAAGCTTATCGAGAAAAAAAGAAACGAATGCAAATAAATCAATTTTTACATTTTGTTATTTAATTGAAAAATGTTCGGACATCAAATTAAGTGACGATTAGAGTGGCAGTATATCTTTCGCATTCTTTGTAATGACCCTCGATTTTAATCCATTTATTTGCAAAATTACTCATTTTATTTCCAAACCGACTATTTGATCTCGAAAGCTTAAAACTGATCGTATGCCATGAATTCAGCCAATAAACTTGAATCGGTTAGAATTATTCAACATTATCAAATAACACCATCGAAATGTGACTCTGAAAAAATTTCATACACAAATTCGTCCCTTAGCGATGCAAAATAGCTTAGACAAGGGACAATGTTGCGTATGAACTTTTACAAGTGTCGCCAAAATACATGTCTTTCTTTCGTTATTTTCTAAATTCGTATAATTCTGACCCATTCACTTAACATTCTATCATTCTCAATCAATATTACTTCGTTGTATTTTCAATTGACATTAATCTTTCTCTTCGGAATTTAAAAACAAATAATTCCTTATTTTCTTCCTCAAATTGAAGTCTTTTCGCATTAGACATCGATGTGGTTATTCACGACAATATCAATGCAACTGATGTTGTTCGGGTTTCTTCATTAGTGTTGTCATAACAACAACGACAAAAAAAATGCACTCACGGGTTTTACAAGGTAGTGAACACAATATTACAATACCGGTTAATTATTTCGAGCAGCAAGTACTAGATCCGAAAAAAGTAAATGAATTCGACGTTGGGTGTCCGTTATGCAGAGAGAAATATTGTAATTGAAGTATTTAAAAAAAAGTTAAGGTTGAATATTTGAAATACGCTAGCGCTGTGGAATGTGATTGAATTTTGCAGATGCACCGAGTCGAAAACTACGGCAATTATAGTTTCAGCAGAGTTTAACGATTTGAACGTCCTGAATTCAAACAATTAAAATGGCCTGGATTCAACGACCATTCAAACGATCAAGAATTAACTAAAAAACTATTCTTTTTTTGCATTAATTGAGCGAATTTTTTTTCTTCGGTTAAATTGTTCAATTTCTATTACCGTTTTATTTTCTCATTTACAAAAACTTGGCACACGCTTTACAAATAAAATTGAGGTTTTTTTTTATCTCTTCACGTGAAAACGGAATAAATTTTTTTGTTATCAAACTGTCCGATTTAAAGTCAACGATTTTAAATTCATCGAACCGTCAACACGATCATATATCGCACTTACAGACAAATCAAAGAGAAAGAGTATGAGTACGGTACACGTCTTTTATCGACCACAGTGAATGATCAACTGAACTTACTGGAAATGCTAAACGACTGAAATGCATGGATTTTTACAAACGCTCAAAAAATAGACGGCGCACGCGCACGAGCTCGCGCCCGCTCTTTTTCGATCGATACGGCGTGTGTTGAGAGCGCTGTTTTTCGACACTGTTTCCAAAAACGCCTCTATCGACGTGCATGCCTACTACCTTGCATCAGTCTCGTTGGTCGCGCCGTGTTGCCGACACATTTTACACACAGTGGCGCGAAATAGTTGCATGGAAGTGAATGGTGTGTGCGAGTGCATAGCGCTTTATTGGAGATCACTTGTACATCGGACATGTGCGAAGTGCTCGAGGGCAGACAAAATATACTCACATTCACACACACACACACAGTGGTCCTATGTGCGCACATCGACAAACCATGAGGAAGCTGATAACGATCAGTCATAAACAATGTAATGCAGTCACAAACAATACACGAAATATCGATCGAATGTCTCAAAGAAAGTGAGTGCGCGCTCCATCGAGAGCTACACCACCAAATCGTTAAATGCGCCATCCGATGTGTACATTGTCCATTTATTTCAGTCGCATTCGAATTGTTGATCACTTAATTTGTGTGTGCACATTTACACTTATGAATCAAAAGCATGCATAAAAATTACGTGTTGTAATTTTACATGTTAGATAAAAAAAACGTATTTGATCCACTCTATATACACATATGAATCACCGATGTAATGGTTCCATTATTCGTTGCTCTTCGCTTCACTCTCTGGTTTTTATATGTATTTGTCTTCTTCTGTTTTTTCCTCAGTTGCTTTCTTTGTGGTGGTCTGTTCAATTTAATATCGAAGGCCACATGCATTGTGTTGCCGTCCATGCCAACAAAGAGGCCACAACCTGCGGAACCAGTAACAAATGACCAAAAGGTTAGGATGGGAAGAGACAAAAAAAAAGTTGACAACTTTCGCGCACCCATTTACTCTGATCAACCAGAATCATAAGGTCAGGACGTAGGCATCAAAAACGTTCTCACTTCGTTATCATGTGAATGACCTGCAGCACACTGTCACTGCCGCTGTCTCCGTTGCCGCCACCGCCACTGCCACAACGGCTGTTTCATGGCACTAGCGAGAGAACCATGACTGAAGTCGTAACGTGTTTCTTTGAACTTGATAAAATCAGCGGAAGGAAAAACCTTTTCGAAATGTTCATTCCGTAAAACAATCGCCGTCAGCTACACACATTACTCATTGATCCTTCGATGAAAGCACATCAAGCAATTTTCTCTGTCTCGTTGTAAACAATTTAATTGGATTTTTCTTTTGTCTGTTTTCCTTTTTTTTATTTTAAACGAAAATTTACAATAATTTTTGTATTGCTTTTTCCTTGATCCTTACAGATATGAACTCTTAAAATCGTTTTCTGCAATAATTGAATTTTCTCTGTGATACAGGTGATCAGATTTTTCGTGTGACATTATAAGTTCAATTCGAACAACAGGTCCTACCAAAAAAACGTTCAATTTTTTTTCTATACATACCCAATTTGTGATTTATTTATTTCTACGGTGAACTAAAATGATTCTAAAAATTGCAAAAATTATGCACAAAAACAGTGCCGGCAGATTTAAAATCAACATTTGATTTGAACAAGCATTTAAATGCTCAGATAACAGTAGCCAGGTGTCGTGACTCTTCAAGTGGCATCACGAATATGAAACACGTAATGAAATGAGAGAAGAAGAAATCGATTGTAAATTGTGTAATTTATTTACCATTTTTATAATTTTTTTGCAGTTTTTATTTTTCTGTATTTTTTTTAAAGGTTTTATAGTAAATATTTTTAAATTAATCGGATTGTTGTTTTATTTGCTTGTGTTTTCGGTTTGAGTGTTTGCTCTTAATTCATTCCCCCCGAATTTGTTACATCTTTTTTATCTTTAATAATACAGTATAAATCCAATTAATCAAATTTTCATATCATAATTTAAATCTTGTTTTATATGTTTTTGTTTTTGTTTTTATTTTTGTTTTTGTTGTTGTTGTTTTTTGCATCTTCTTAATTGCCCTTGTTTCTAACAAACTGCTTAAGTTCAGCATCCACATGCTAACATACACTGAAAATTGTTTATATTCTATTCACTATCATTTCATCTCTCAATCTTATTTTTTGTATTATTTTTTTTTCTTTCCTTGCATTTTTACCATAATTGTTAGTCGATTGCGTGGCGCACATCATCTATCCTCAGCATATACACACAATCAGCATTTACATTGCATATCGATGGGTCCATTCTTTTGCATTGCGGATAGCCTCACTTTCATTCACCTAATTTACCGGAAAGAAAATCGGTAAAAAAAAAACAACAACAGTAACCAAGGATGAATTAGCATTTCTTTTTTTTTTTTCTAGTGTGTGTCATGTATTTGTGCAAAAAGAACTGAAAAAGAAAATAAAAACACTTAGGGTAGTTACCTTCCAAAGTTCGGCCACATCATTAGCAAGAGGATCGTCTGGATTGGGTGCTGATAGCAAAGCTTGAATAGACAATAGGACGGTGCGAATTTGCAGTGCTGGACTCCATTTATCTTTCAATATATCTAAACATATCCGACCTAGGCGATCAATGTTTGGATGATAGATTTTCGTGATGAATCGCACTTTTGGCGCTGACATTGGATAGTCTTCGGGCAGAAATAGTTCCAATTTGAAGAGGCCGCCTTCGAATGGTGAGTCTGATGGTCCGGTAACAATGACATGAAAGTAGCGTGCATTGTTTTCATCGGGAACAGCACTGATGCCGGGCACTGGTTCCTGCAGCAAACGCATTGTTTCTTTCACAATTCGACGTGACAGTGCAGCCATATTTATTTTTGTGAAACTGTTGCCTTCGGTTTTTCTATTGTTGTTATACGAATATTTAGAGCCTCTCTATCGTTCGCTCGGCGGTCTACACTGGATTACTGCGGATGATTCACTTCAAATTTCCAAAATGATTTCTATTTGCCAAAGCACCGAATGTTTTGCCGTATCTCAATAATCGGTGATGATGAATGTTGCGTTTTCGGTCGAATCGCGTTTCTCTCTCACTCGGTGTGTGACACAAGGCGAAAAAAAAAATTTCGGTTTTTAATAAAAGTTGCGTTCAGCTTCTCGACACACAAGCAACCAAAAAAAATTTTATTTGACAGTTCTCACTTCACGCTCTTCTCCTATGTGTGTGGTGTGTCGTGTGTAGAAAAATAAAAATTCGCTTTTCTGTCTCTTTCTCCTTAGATTTTTTCGATTTGATTTTGAACACAATGTGTGTTGGGCAGCACAATAGCAAAAATTGCGTTTGATTGCTGTCTCACACTCAACACACCGACAAAATAAAAACGTTTCTTCTTCCTACTGCCTGCCAAAAGAGAGAAAAAAAGAGAGATAGAGACAGGGATAATAGAGAGAGATAAAAAAACTAACAACTTAAAATCGAAAATGGAACGATTCGAACAAACGAGCCGAACACTTTGTGTGATTTTTTTCTCTTTTGTTTAGAATCTCGAAACGATAATGCGCTGCTTATTTACTTTGTGGAGATGATTTCGCCCTCGTTTTGTACAAATTCGTAAGTAAAACGAAATCAAAATTTCTATAGTTTTATTTTTTGGTTACTTGTCAGCAAGTTGATTGTTCTTACAGTGAATATTTCACAAATTCTTTGTAAACGACAGCTATCGTACCTATTTTTTTAATGTAGCTTCTTCTTTTTCTCTCCTCCTTGTTATTACTTTAGTCGAATATGTCTGTTGTGTTTGTGCCTTTTGAAAAATGTTCCAAATATGTATAGATTTGTACAAGCAATTCACTGTGTGTGTTTCAGTTGGTTGGTCGTTTTATTTTTCGAGCTATAGTGGGGTAATTCGACATTCAGATGGTGTCTGTGTATACGTTCGTATGCAGAAAAGTCATGCACAATGACTTTTTATTGTTGAATATGTTCATGTTCACGGGATCTGGCTGATGTGATTGACAATCGTTGGTCTCTCTCTCTCTCTCTCTCTCTCTCTCTCTCTCTCTCTCTCTCTGTATGCGTGTGCGCGCGATTTTGGTGAATGTGTGCGTCTGACGTGAGAAGCACTGCAACAACAATAGCCCGAATCGCCTTGCTCTTTTTTGTATGAAATTTGAAATGAAAAACGTAGCAAAAACCCTAAAGTAGCGTTTGTACTTTTGCGGCTTCACAATTGGAATTCCATTTGCTTGGCCAAACTATATGGAACAATTTAGTTTGTCGGCAACAATAATTGGGATTCTTGTCAGAGAATCCAACGTTTATTTTTAGTTTTCACCTAAATGAAAAAAAAAAACAAATATTGAATGCCATACAAATTCCATTGAGCACCTTTTCTAAGCTGATAAACATGTTGCACCAACAGTTGAATTGAGTTCAGCGTCTTAGTAATGCAAGCCAATAAATACCTCGGTTTATGTAATAAATAAATTACAAATATAGCGAATTCAATAACAGAAAATTCGAATGAAATACAAAATTGATATGCATCTCTCTAATAAGTCATAATCGTCATCTAAATTAAATGTCGATTTTAGTACATAGTTCATTGCATACGGATTGTACTCAAGCTGTATCTAAGCAGCTGCGACTCCGTGTCTATGCTTTGCTATTGTGTGTTTAAACTTTAAACGGTTTATTTTCGCCGCACTCTTAAGTACGACATGTACGAACATGAATACATCAGAACGCTACGCGCTCTTTTCCCTGTGAACCAAATGATTTTCACATTGAATCTTAGGTTATTTGGGCGCGAAAACACAAACATTCGTTGACACCGATATATAAAGTAAACCAACAATTTGAACTGGCTGCTATATTGAGCTAACAGTTTGAGAGCGTCGGACACGAATTTTAACAATTCACAAAGACATTCTGAAAAAATTCCATTGACTACATCATACAAGAACGTTTCCTGAATTTTTACCGTACAGTTTTTTTTCTGGAAATTGTTTGCATAATTTTTTTTTGACTCAACTTGTTAATGTTGTGATAATATCGTGAATTTTCTGCACATTTTGTTGGTTCTTTAAACGCGATTTTTTTCGAAATTCAAGAAAAAAGCAAATTTCGTCATCAATCATGATTCGTGCAACAGATGAACGTTTTGTTTTAGGAAGCAAAGAAAATTTGACCGCAAATATGGAAGCGTTCAGCTTAAAGGTAAATATTCATTCGATATTCGTATTGTCGCGCATTTTTATCGATAAATTGCTGGATTTTTGTTTTGTGCGGATGTTTGCAATTTTTTTTTTCCATAGTCGGTTGTTTTTTCATGTGTACGTGACTAATCTGTCCGAGTCACTTGTTTTTTGCGCGGGAGACTTTCGCGTCGATACATTTTTTGCACAATGGTCGTGCCTTGTTTATCTATTTCTGAATAAAATGATGTCTGCGCAATTTTATCCTTCGACTGCTTCGAAGCGAATGACTGCAATATCACATTTTTTCATAACAATTTACTCATTTTTTCTCTTCCGTATCATTTCTTTTTCGCCAACAAAGAAAAACGTTCTGCCATTTGTTATGTTATATTTTCAAAGCGATTAGCGATATTTTTTAAAGCAAAGTGAAAATATAATCAAAATTGGAATAATCTAATTTATTGGAAATGCTTGACACCACATTTACGTCATTTGGAAGATTAATCTCTGACAATGATCGCAAGTGATTCGTTGAATAACGCTCTTTCTCTCAACATTAAGAAGATTTTCGTAAAACAATTACCTTAGTTGAGGACTAACGAAACAATCGTTTGGATTGTATTTTTCTGTTCAACAGAGCCCACGCAAAGTGATTACTGGCCAAACCATTGACGGTGCGTCGCCAAACAAGTTGCGCAAACTCAACATGGATCAACATCAAAGCAAAGACGACGAAACCAAGAAAAATGAATTTTCGGCTATCAAATCTAACGCGACAATGGATTTCGATCCACAGCTGGAACCGTTGCTCCGTGAAAATCCAAAACGTTTCGTCATTTTCCCCATTCAATACAAAGACATCTGGGACATGTACAAAAAGGTAAATTATTGCGAGAATCGCCACTACCAGATTAGATTCCATTAAATGAAACGAAAATAAAAATTCGATTGAAGAAAGTTGATTTGACGTCACATCGTGTTAATTGAATGTTCCCTTTGTGTGTCTGTTGTGGTGTATATTTTTTGTGTTAGGCTGAAGCATCATTTTGGACGGTTGAAGAAGTTGATTTGACGAAAGACATGGATCATTGGAACAATAAATTGAACGAAGATGAACGCAATTTCATCAAGCACATTTTGGCATTCTTTGCCGCATCCGATGGCATCGTCAACGAGAATTTGGTTGAACGTTTCAGCCAAGAGGTGCAAGTGACGGAGGCACGTTTCTTCTACGGGTTTCAAATGGCCATCGAAAATGTTCACTCGGAAATGTACAGTTTATTGATCCAACAATACAGTCGCGATGACGAAGAGCGAAACTTTTTGTTCAATGCCGTTGAAACGTTGCCATGTGTTAAGAAGAAGGCTGATTGGGCTCTCCAATGGATTGGCAGCAAGTCGGCCACATTTGGTGAACGTGTGATTGCATTTGCCGCCGTCGAAGGTATTTTCTTCAGTGGTAGTTTTGCATCGATCTTCTGGTTGAAGAAGCGCGGCCTTATGCCAGGCTTGACATTCTCCAACGAACTGATTTCACGTGACGAGGGCATGCACTGTGACTTTGCTTGCCTCATGTTCAAGCATGTCGTACAGAAACCATCACCAGCTCGCATTCGCGAAATAATCCTCGAAGCGGTGAAGATCGAACAGGAATTTCTATCGGTCGCATTGCCAGTCTCAATGTTGGGCATGAACTGCGCTGACATGTGCACATATATCGAATTTGTCGCCGATCGATTGCTGGGCGAGCTCAATTGTGATCCGGAATTCAACGTCAAAAACCCATTCAAGTTCATGGACTTCATTTCGTTGCAAGGCAAAACGAACTTCTTCGAAAAACGTGTCGGCGAATACGCCAAGAGCCACAAGACCGACAAAAAGAACGAAGAATCCTCCGCATTTTCATTGGACGCTGATTTTTAAGCAAATCTTACTTACATTCATTTTCCTACCACTTTTTTTCATTTTATTTTACAACATTATTTTGAAGAATATATTTTTTCGTCTTGTAAGTCTAAGCCAAATGACTAGCTTTAACGTAGTTTGTAGATTTTTTTGATTGATGATTGACAGTCTTTTGAAAAAAAAATTTGTATGCAATTACGTTTTATCGCGCGCACACACACATTTTTCACCTTACCAATGTATTTTTGAGTTTGTTCACAACCTGGCGTGTTGATTTGAATCCAAACCGACTTCTAAACATAACCAAATGACAATGATGCTACAACTGATGCAATGAAATAAAACTTTTTACATATTCAACGTTCGATAGTTTGTAATTTTGATCTTTATTTTTTAATTGAAATAAAACACACGACAAAAACAGTTGATTTTGTGTTATTTGATTTTTAAGTGTTTTGAAAAGCCCCCCAAAAAGATTAAAAATCCACTTAGAAAATATAGTTGTAAAATTGTTTGGTTATTCTGATTATTTAAGCGCATGACGCTTTTTAAGCACAATTTTTCCGACGAAATTAAAGGTCATTTGCAAGAAAAAACAACATAGTTATTTCAACTCACTTGAAAAGAGTCACACTGATTGTTGTCTTTGACATTGTTCGTTTTTACCCTTTATTCCGTTCCAATAAGCCTTAATATCGATTCGTCGAAATATTTCCATCCACAACAAAATAAGAAAACTAGACCATAACCCACTTATAGTGTTGTAAAAATTTCACCATTTCCCAATTTTGTGTTCAATCAATGGTTTGGAATTCTCGATTAAGTATATCCAAATCGCGACTATCAATTGCTTCTTGAAGATCCATGCGGCCCATAAGTGAGATGGCCATACGTAGTGTGCTCCATATTGTGTCTGACATTTGATTGCTGGTATCTTTGACACTTTGCAGACCCGATCGTGACAACGAAGTGGCTTGATGATTAAGCGCCAGTAAAAAGTGTTCGATGGCTTCTTTGTATGACTTCAGATTGATACAAATTATACCGACATTGTATCGTGCCCGAATATATCCCGGTTCAATGGCTAGAGCATGTTGATACGCATCAACGGCGGCAATAGATTGATTACCATTGGCTAAGCTCGCACCCAAGCGATTCCATACTTTAGCGTTGTTTGGTTTGACCTGTAGGGAAGCTCGGAAGCAATCAGCTGCTTTCTCATAGTCGGACGATAAATTGAATAAGACTCCCAGTGCCTCCTGAATTTCGGCATCAATTTCATTTGGTGATTGTCGCACCGCCTGAATAAACAGATCTTGAACATCAATCAATTCGGGGCCATTTATCAATGAGCTTGCTATCATTCCTTCGGAATTTTTACTGAAATGAGCTGGTACAAGATTTTGATATTTTTCATTTGATCGAAGCCAATCGATTAACATGCGAAGCGCTTGAGTCTGCAAACTCTCGTTAGTGTATGAAATTGCCAAATCCATCATAACATTTCGATTTTGGGGATTCAGTTCAAGTGATTTGTTCAATGCAGCAATGGCGTTCGGATCTTTTTCATTTTCAGCTTGTGATGTTCCTAACAGCTCCCAAATTTCAGCATTATTCTCATCTTGTTGCACAGCTGCTTCAAAACACAGCACAGCACTGGGGATATCACCACGTTCGAGAAATGCCTTCCCTTTTTCGAATGCATTTTCAACGCCCAACATCGGATTATCCTCGTCGAATGTGTATTCCTAAAATGAAACCGATTCCAAGATGTTAATAATACTGCAGCAAACGGAAAATTGTGGTGGAATTTCTCCCAATGGTAAAGGAGACATCAACATGAATTCCTACTTTGTATGGATTATAATATTCGTTAAATTCAGAAAGCCACGGTGATTGATCATCAAGTCGGTCAGATATTTTCTTCCACTCATCTTGCAACCGATTCCAAAACTGCTTATTGAACTCTTCGTTATCAACATCTAAACGAAAATCGAATATTAAATATAAATAATTCAGAAAAATTGTGTAAATGCCACACATTTTTACCTTGTTTGGCTTTATGTTCGGCGAAATCTCGAACCCAGTCCGAATCCTGTTCAGATGTGGTCACTGCGGCTGCAGCTGCGGCTGCAGCTGTCACTCCGGCTTCACTAGTTTCCGCAGCAAATTCATCTGTCCACGAATGAATCGGCTGTTGACTGTTTTCTATTTTAACCTCTCCATCGCTAACTCTATTCATAAATCGCATAAATTCGTTGTATTTGTAGTGTTCAGAGTGACCAGGATGAGCTAGCTCCGCAGGTAAGGGTGCCTGTGGAATAACGACTTAAATTAACGCAGTCTCCTTTTGAATATTCGAAAATTGGCTCCACACTTTTATGTTTGTTGTCAAAGTAGAAGCGATAAATTTTAGAATTGTGCATTTATCAAACATACAACGTGATTTCCTAAAACATTTGCGTCGAAAAATTCTGCGGTGGTTAGCGGCATTGTGCTTTGTTCAGAAGTGTTTTGAATGTTAGCCAATGGCAGCGATTGAGTGATGAGGTGCGGATGATTTTGCCAAAACTTCCCAAAACCAAGAAGAGGAACAGGATGATTAGAATGTAATGTTTACATCTAGAAGATGACAAATTGATAGTGATTTCAAGTGACTTCATACCTGTTCCTCGTCGTTTGCTTTGATCGGTGCATCTTTCGGCTCTAGTTTTGCTTGTGTGTTTGGTCCTTGATGAAATTGATTGGCCCAATTCAACCCATTGTTGACTTCGGCTGATACGGTCGGTGCTTGAACCACTTCCAATGGATAGTTTTGTGCATCAATTTCTCGCATTTCCTGTAATAAAGCGTCCATGCGAAATGTTTGTGGTGCCGGTGCACTCATTTGACCGAGAAACTCATTGACGAGTTGGTTTTGGTTCATTTCACTGAAGCTTTGCTGTGGCCGACTTGATACCTCGGCAAATGGCATCGGCCGACCGGATATACCCTCATCTTTATGGGCTGCATCCTGCACTATCTGATTCCCTAGTCGCATCAACGGATTCGCGCCACCACATTCCGGATCGATTAGTTCTCTCAGTGACATTTCTATCATTTAGCAAAAACGATACAAAATATACGAACACCTTTCAGAAAATCATGTTCACATCAATTAACAGACGTTCAATTCTATAAATTGATTTTAGTATGAATTTTTTTTTCTAATTCTCTATTTGCCAAAATTCAATCGTATGGATTTTCACATTTCTCTTACCACAATAACCACTTCAATGAACTTTTGAGACAGAAATTTTCCAGTATTTTGTTTTTTTTTGTGTGAAACGTCGTCTATTATATGTATTCAATGGGAAAAAATCACTCGAAACCTACATGTATTCCGGATAGATTCTAGTGTGTCTGGATTTCAAGGCAACTGAAAAGCTGAATGATTATTTTTGTCGCAACAAATGATCACTGACAATTTGTCTGTGTGTTAAATTTTGCAAGTAGCAAAGATGATCAAATTATAGTAATTAGACTGAAAAATGCAAATCTCGTTGACATTGCCGTACACGATTCCGACTTGGATAAAAATAAATTATCACTTTCCGATGACTTTCAAAACACAATAATTTATTTTTATGTAATGTTGTTTATCCACTTATTCGGTTGTTTTGCTAATGTTGTTGTTGTTGTTTTTGTTGTTGTTTTCCTCACTCGCAATACATTGACAGATTGGTTTTTTTTATTTATTTTTTTTAATACGCACCGCACCATAATATAGTGGTTCTATTATATTATCGTTGCGAATGTTGGAATCGAACGCATCCATTGACAAAAGCAGTGAGTTACACACATTTCAATATATGAATGACATTTCGGTAGCTAAATCAACTTCACATGTGTTATTCAAATAAATTTTTGGTGGAAGCCAGCATGCTCACAGTAAATTACGGGCAAAATATCTCGAATTATCATCAAAATATTTCAATTACGGCGAGTCCACAAGCCAAAACATTCCATATGCAAAAAGTAAGTAATTAAATAGCGAGATTCCAGCGATTATAAAAAATAGCTTTAACTTTAATTATGATTGTTTCTATGTTAGCCGTGTTTTGACTGAAATCGAACGAAAAGTTGTTGAACATGTCCAAAGTAACAAAACGTAAACATGTGATGAAAGAAATGCAAACAGATGATTTCGATCCGCCCGGACCGAATCAGCAAATTGTGCGAATCCTAGGAAGCCGAGGCAACAACTTGCACGAAGTTGAATCGGCCGAACCAATACCAAACAATGGCAACGCGACCAATGATGATGCGGCTGAAACGAACACCGATCGTTTCTTGATTTCAATGCCGACCAAATTCCGGAAAAATGTTTGGGTGAAACGAGGTGACTATGTCATTGTGGAGCCAATCGATGAAGGCGACAAAGTAAAGGCTGAAATCGTACGAATTTTAACGCCGCAGCACATCAAAGAGTTCACCAAAGATGGCATCTGGCCCGAGAAGTTCACAACAAAAAACGACGACAGCGAAGTAAGGAGCGAAGCCGTTAATAGCTCAGAAGATGATGATGACGATTTGTTTCGAAACACAAATCGTTCGCATCAACACATCGAATCCGACGAGGAGGAATCATCCGGAGATGAAACCAGTAGCGAAGAAGAGAGTGATTGAATGAATGAATACAAAATGAAATTTGTTTACCTTTTATCTACTCTTAAAGACTCAAATTCCAGCTGATTCGTAATGACCCAATTCACTTTGGTCATACATCTGCAACTGGCTGTCGTTGTAATTCTAATAAAGATATTTGCGTTAAGTACACCATAAACAAACAAAACAAGTATTTTATAAATTGATGGATTTTTTTTCGTTTTATTCTTCTTCATTTTATACTCTTCCATAGATTCATCGTTTATTTCTATTAAAATATACAAATATTTATTCAACCCCAATAAGCACATTGTACGCACATGCAATATATTTCATATGTTGCCGGTTTTGTGCTGAAAAGGCACTAGATACGTTACTTCTGTTCTTCATACTTTGTGTCAAATCCTATTTCTTCTTCCGTTCGTTTGTTTTGACCGAATTTGATCATGGCAATGCTGAGCGTTCGATGGACTGCATTTCAATGATCAATGGCAAATTTCCTGCTTTGGAGATGTCATTGTGAATGTTCCTCCTTGATTTATCAATGATAGTTTATCATTTATGTACAAAATTTAAAAAAAAAACACTTATTCATTTTATCAAAACATAAAAAAAAAAAATTAATGAAATTCTCAACGTTACAAATTTTGGCCTAGACGTTACAGAATCGAATGTTTCTTTGCTCTTGAAAAATGCTAATGTCAGGAGAACTACTTCCTATCTCAAATGTCATGAGTTGTTGATTTGAAATACAGCAACCTGTTTCAACCGAGTTCATTTCTCAGGCCATAGAAGTTTTTCACCTATTTTTAGCATTCTAATTGTGAATTGAGTAGAGATGTTCGAAACGTGATCATCCAATGACGAATGGTTCAGCTTCCTTGTGATGGAATTGGTCTGGATGTTCGGCAATATAAATGACATAAATTAATGGAATAGCAAAGCATAGCGCCAATATAAAAATCAATAAGCATATCCACGAAATATCACAATCAGACCCGGAGCACGAAAATTCGCTGCGTGGTGCTCCTCGTATTGCGTGTGGTCCACTTTGGAGTGTGTCTTCGGTGTAGAGTGCGCTGGATTCAGCCAAAGGCGTTATCAGTGGATCAGTAAAATTGAAATCATCTTCGTCATTCGGATCAGTATCACCATGGGCAGTAGCTCTGCTCTCTTTGGCCAATATCGTTCGATAGCTGTCTCTCACAGAGCTCGAATGGGCATTGTTCCCATTTTTATCACGATCAATTCCACTCGATGACGAAGCCAAACTAACCGAAGCCACCAACAATTTTTCATCCAATATATTATTTGGCAGCTGAAGTGATGTATCCGTTGTGCTATGGTTATTCTTAGAACTATGATTTAAATCGCCCGGATGATTCGGACTATTTTGACCACTTTTATGAACCGTTGGAAGCTCATCAAAGTTTGTCGTATGCAATAATATGGTATGCGCATTCACTGGCACTTTGATTGTTTTGCGAGCATGAATCTCAATCTCTTTCTCGATTTTATTCAAACGCTTCAGATCGGATATCTAAACGGTCAAACGAGAGACGAATACAAGGTAAATATGTTGAACTTTAATGTGCGTGATTCAGACAGAAAACAATGCGAATAAATTAATGAGCAAAATGCTTCGGTGTCGCTACGTGTGCAAAAAATAGTGCTGCTATAGTGCGAAGGCCTTGATTCAAATTTCAAGTAAAAAAAACCATTTTCGCGGGTTTGTTTGTTCAAAATATGGCTTCATCATTATTGTTTTATTTTCTCTTTAGATTGTTTAACTGGCACTTGGTACATTCTGCTCACGAAAATTCGAATTGATAAAATCGAAAAGTATGACGTACCGTGCAATTGTACCGTAGAGCGATGGCTTGAAGCGTGTCGCCCGGTTGGATTTGTGCCTCAAGTACATTCTCTTGACGTATTTTGCGTCGCTGATTCTGTAACTGAATGTTTCGCTGATCATAGTCGTCTGCATCGTTCTGTTCCAATAACTCACGGTACTCTGCATTTCGTACTCTAAATGAAAAATCAACACACACATTAAATTCATTACGATTGCGGAAAAGGCAAACCCACATAAAAATAACATCTCACTTACCTTTGTCTCTTCATTCCGAACAAATGAAACGCATCTAGACAAAAATCCTTTTGGTTTGTGATTGGCTTCTCAGCTTTGCTTTATTTATATCGTTTAGTCTATATCTCTTATTTCAGTTTACAAGTTACGATCGTTGGCAATCTGGTTTCATTCGCAAAATTATCATTTTTATGAAATCTTGCCTCTGCTTTGCAATAAACTACTCTCTAACATTTTTCATCTTCACAGAAAAAATCAAAATTTAATAAATTCAACAGCGTGGAAATGTCAATCGATGAAAATATAGAACAAATTAAAATTTCGTACAGTACGTTGATATATGTGTGTAAGAAAGAGAGAGAGAGAGAGAGAGAGAGAGAGAAAGTGAGAACAAAAAGTAAATACGTTGTTGTATATTGAGCTAAACGTGAAACGTCAACAGTGAAAACAATGTTCGAGCACTGGGAGAGTGAAACAGTACGAACCAAATATAGAGTTAAGCAAACAGAATTCGAATACGTTGTTGCTTCTCAATTGAAATACACAAACATACACAAAAGAAAATAGTGATTCGGTGAACGCACTGATCTTGTTTCATGTGCACATATCTGACGTGTGCCCATGGGCCCAACGACGACGACGTTTACGTTGCTATTTCTTCTCAGATATAGTTGCACAAGACATCATCGATGTTCGCAAATTTATTCTCCAGCCGTAATGTTGTGTGTAACAAATTGACGTGACATAAGGCAATCTGTTGATATGTCAAATGCTATGCAATTGAAATACAAACACGCACACGATGATCAAAGCATTTGCGTTGTATTTGTTCGAGACAGGTGAATTGAACGTATCCATTGAAGCTGGACCTGAGTTTTTCGTTAAAATCTTCAATTTGAAACATTTTACAATGAATTGCGTCTGAAATATTCCATATTTTACCCGATTAGGAACTTTTTATTTCAATAAAAAAAAAATGTCACAGTTGAACATTTCGATGCAACTGTATTTTATTTGCAAAAATGTAAATTGTATGGCTGAAAATCTCCAACTTTATTTCACAGCGTATTATGATTTTCATGGATCATAACAAAAAATCTATTTTTATCGCTTGGCACATGGTAAAAAAGTAGAATACACTACATAAGAAGTGTTTTTTGTTTATTTTAAATTATAAAAATATCATAAATACGTAGAATATGCTGTGATGCGCATATATTTCTATGCATTAACAGAAAAACACATAACTCACTGGATTGTCAACGAATCACAAATATAGCGTACATTAGTGCGCGTGATTAAAGACAAGAAATTAGAACAACAACAACAACTCTTCTCAACAACAACAAACAAACGTCCATACGGTTATGAATGCGACTGCGTATGTATATGTAGTACAAAATTTGAATGTCACTTGTCGATGCCAAACTGTTTATCTATGGTCTCACGAACCGCGTTTTATTGAAAAAGAAAAAAACAACATTTTTAATTATACATAATTCTTGAAACCGATGAAACCGAAATTGTCGTCTGAAACATTTATACTTCGATTGTGATATTCGAATCAGTTGATTTATTCGATCAAAGTGTAAACATTATGTGTAAGCGAGAGAGCTGATAAGGGAATTTGAATCAAAATCGAACTTCTGCTGCTTGTATTTGGGGAAACGTGAAATTCTCTCTCTCAACCACTCTCATTCGCACGCTGTCTAATTATTATCAATGTCAGAAAAACTTGCTATTATATAAAATGTACACAACGCGCAATGAACATACACAATTCCAGTGATTAAGTCATAAACAGCCACTGTCGAAGCATGTAAAACACACAGCATTTTAATTCATCAATCACATTTTCGTTTTCACTGCATTCAATTCCACACAGCATTTTCTATTCCTACCCTCACTTTTTCTGTTTTGCAACACACATTTTTTCATTTGGAATTTTACCGATAATTTCTGTAAAACATGGAGCGAATAATTCGCGGGATAATGCGATACAGGCATACGACGAGGGAGCAAATGGTCAAAGAATTTGTCAGAGTTAAAAATGATCCACATGTAAGTTGTTGCTTCTGTTTCAATTGATTCGGCGACGGGAGAGTCGTGAACTTGAATCATCTTCAATGTCAATGAATAATTTCGGTTTGATTTTTTTTTTTAGCCAAAAGCTGTGTTCTTTACGTGCATGGACAGTAGGATGATTCCCACTCGATTCACAGAGACCCATGTAGGCGATATGTTTGTTGGTAATTTGTAACATCTTATCACTAATCTCAAACCATTGAGATTGTATTGATTTTCATTCATATTTGTTCGAATTCAAGTGCGAAATGCTGGAAATCTGGTGCCGCATGCGCAACACTTCCAAGATGAGTATTTTAGCTGTGAACCAGCGGCTCTGGAGCTGGGATGCGTTGTGAATAACATTCGACATATTATTGTGTGCGGGCATAGTGATTGTAAAGCCATGAATTTATTGTATACGCTCCGCGACAAGAAAGAGGCTACCGCTGACCAACGAAGGTTATCACCGCTGAAAGCCTGGCTGTGTGCACATGCTACTGATTCTAGTCTCGACCGCTTTTTGAAGTGGCAGGATGCTGGCATGAAAGATGCCTTGATTTTTTCATCCGAAACACCATTGCGTCGATTCATTGCTTATATTGATCAAGAGAATAAATTCGGTATAGAAGACAAACTATCACAAATCAACACATTGGAACAATGTATGTAACTTTCATTCGATTCCTAGCACACGCCTCAATCTATGAGCGAATTTTTTTTACTTGCAATATAATCAAAATACCTAATTTGTGTACTCTTTTGATTTGCAGTATCTAATGTTGCATCCTATGGATTTTTAAAGAAACGCCTCGAAAGTCATGACCTACACATTCATGCGCTCTGGTTTGATATTTATACGGGAGATATTTATTATTTTAGTCGCGGTCAGAAACGCTTTGTTGAAGTTAATGAGGAAAATGCGCAACCAATCATCGAAGAAGTAAATCGATTTTATTCATAGCACTCCTTATCTCTTACGTCTACATTCAACTGCCTTATGTACCATTGTTGTAAGCTATACATTTACAATGTAAATGGAAGTGAGTGGTGATTTCTTTCTTTTAGAATGTAATATTCATTTGAAATAATTTATAAACATATGTGTTGACAATAATTGTAATGATAAATCAAACTAATTCCACTTTGTTTTTTTATTATATGTATGCACAAAACAAATTTTTTTTTTTGAATAAAATTTGCAGATTTGCCATTTATATTTGTTCGATTTGTTTTTTACAATGATGAAATGGACAATTCGATTGATTGCATTGGCATTCACAATGTGTTCTACACATTTGGATTATACTCAAACAAGAAGAAACAGATAAGCCATTTCCAATGGACCTGGCAGCAGTTGATGTTGCACAGTATTGCTGCCTCGAAGTTATGACAAAGAAATTGACTATGTTGTTGAGTTCGATCCCGCTCTGCCAAAAATTACATTCTTCACATTCGAATGAATGCATTCAATAAAGATAAATACGTCTACAGGTGAATGGCGTTGTTGAACGAAAATCGGAAGCAATACAAAACCCGTTCTTCAATCATAGAAGAAAGTTTCTGATTTGTACAAGTATGAACCGGCAACAATTTTAATTTCTCTAAAATTGTTTCTCTGCCTTCTCGGTGAACTCCAATTGTTTGTAAATAAAACGAAAATCATTCAATTGCTGGACTTTTTTTTCATTCTTATATTATTCTAAACGAAATACACAAATTCTGTTGCAATGGGCCACAGTTTACAATTGTTTTGTTCTTTACACTACACAAGTCTAAAAGATCATAGCTCTAAATTGGAAGTGATTTATTTCAGATGATAGTTTGTAATGCAAGTTTAAATTTTCAACTTTCTAATTTGTTAAATCAAAAAAAAAAAAACGAAAAAACTTAAACTTAAAAGAATTACACGTTTTTCTGTTTCAAAACCTCTGCATGTGATACATAAGTTTGTATCAAGTGAGTCTTTGTATATGTGACCGAAAATTTAAATACTATTTGCCCATTACATTAACTGTTTGTAATGTACTTTTTTCACTCGTCTCAAACATTTTCAAATAATCCATAAGTTAATCAAGGCAAGTGTGCGAATCGAATTGTCAACAAACGTATTGATTTTGTTTTGAAAACCCCAATCATTCAAGAAAATGCTTATCTCTTTCGTTTCTCCCTTATTCGAATGAAATCTATTCGTTTGTCGAATGTTGGTCGCTAATTTTTCTTTTTGGTTGGAATTCTAAACATTATTGGTGAAAATTTTCAGCCATTATCAAAGCTATTGTAAAAATGTACAAAAATGGCATAAATCCCTATAACTATTGATATGAACAGCAGAGAAAAAGGAAGGAGAGCTGGTTTGTAGGTGTGTGTGTGTCTGTCTGTCTGTGTATCTGTGTGAGTGGCAATTCAGGAAAGAACTTGGTACGAGAACAGAAGAAAACTGTTGTTGAAAACCGGACACAATTGACTATGTGGTTGGCCGTGGCTTTAGAATCAATTTTCCCGTGTCATCACACGACATATTAAAATCGTTGAGCACTTGCCGCGTTCGCGATGTTAATATTTGCGGTGCTATTACCAATTTGTGGATGCCCATAACAAAAAGTGATACTGTAACAAGTAAAAAGCAACGATAAATTAACGATTAGATAAGATTCAATATTATCGTCTGTGACGATACGGCACGCTACTTACACAAAATTAATGCTGCTATGACAAATATATAGTGATTTAATAAGGATTCTGTTAATGGAACAACTGCTGTTTTTGGATCGGTTAACCAATACCACGCACCTACTGATGTGATTGTTGACATAACCGCCAAAATAACTGTGAAAGGGACAACATTTGATTAGGCAACAATATTCTCGTAGCGCATCAATAGTTACATACTTCGCCATCGTACGGTTGAAGGGTGAACACAGGATATTACTTCTGTTAGACGTCTTTCGAATGCCTTTAAATCTACAAAAAAATAATCAAATATAAATCACTCACTTATAAGTTGCAAAAGTACAAATTTCAGCTACCGCAAACTTTGTATCGTTCGATACAAGAAAAAAAAACAACACAAAAACGCAAATTTCAATTATATGGAAATTTAAACTTATACAACAAATGTTGAACTATTCAAACAATTTATTTCATGTTGTCATTGAGGTGTTCATATAATGCACTTACCTTCACAAGCTGACGGCTCCAGCGACATATCTTTTTCACAGTTTTCTATGCACTTAATTTAAAACAAAAATAAAATAAAAATCTCGGCTAACATAAAACCTCGCTCATAGACTCGGAAAGTCTTTGTCGGTTCTTCGGATGTGCGTGTGTATCCACCGTGGCCTGTGAGAGAATCACTCACTCAAGACTTTTCGTACATTATTTCATCAACTCGGATATTGAATGATTGCCTACTTGGTTTTTGTTCATCGAATTTTTATAAATTTTCTATCGTTTTTGAAATTTTCTGTTAGGACTCAACTCTTCTTCGCTACATAAATAGCGAACGAAAAATCCAAACTACACAAGCGAACGATGGGGAAAAAAATAGTTCATACACAAAATACAGAGTTGACGGGTCCAAGAGTGTTGTGAATCTATCTAGACAAATGTCAATGTCATTCATCAACGCGATGTGAGCGAGACAAATATAGTGCCGACATTCAATTGTCAACCCGAAACACAAATGATCCAAGAACAAAAAAACAAATTATTCGTGTATTCCCGATAAAACGGAATACATACTCGGTTTTCAATTAAATGGAATATCTAGAAACAATTTCATTTGGCAATGAGGCAAGTTATCGAAGAAATATGATGGCGATTTGAGGTATATTCAAATCGGGTCACACCATCGACATCTAGCTGAAATCAGTGTGGCTGTCGCAATAAGCCGCATACCGCTTGACAATGTGTCAAAGGTTGCTGCGAAGTAACTAACCTGTTTACCAACTGTCAACCGACGTATTTTTTTCTCGTTTTGGTAAGCCTTATACTAGCCTTAACCAAAAAGAAATCTCTGAATCATACGAATATTCTTATATTTACATATACAACCTCATTTCTATTGACGAAATTGGTAGAATTGGTGCAAATTTCTAAAGATCTTTTCGACTCAGTTTAATAAACATTAAAAAAGTTGTATAAAACCATTTTACAGTTTAAAAAACAGAGATTCTAAAAATAATCACAAGCCATGGACGACAAAGAACTTGATCAAATCCGGCAACAAAGAATTGCCCAAATGGAGTCACAATTTGTGAGTATTGATATTTTCATCTATTTTTTTTCCTATTTGCGTGTTTGTTGATTCGTGATGCAAGGTAAAATACAGCGTCTATTCTGTTTATCATTGTTATAGGGTGGAAAGGATGCCGAACAACAAAAAGCTATGCAAGATCGGGCTCGTCAACAAGAAGACGCTAAAAACTCAATTTTATCACAGATTATGGATCAAAATGCCCGCGCTCGATGTATGTCAATTGAAACCTAGGCCACTAGATAAATCAAATTGAACCCACATTACGAATGACGTCTTTTCTCTGTTTTCTTCCTCCTTCCTCGAAATAGTAAACACATTGAAAATCAGCAAACCCGAAAAAGCACAAATGGTGGAGGGAATGATTGTTCGCATGGCGCAAATGGGTCAATTACAGGGCAAACTAGATGATGCACAACTCGTTCAACTATTGGAAAGTGTCAATTCACAAATGCCTCGCAGTACATCCAGCGTGAAATTTGATCGTAGGCGTGCCGCTATTGATTCAGACGATGAAGACGATTATGGATTGTAGAAGCTCCATCTTTAAACCGTCCTCTTTACTTCGGTCTCTGTTTTAATTGTGCATTTGCTTTTGCTTCTCAAAATTTCTGAATCACACCCTTAACTTTAACTCATTTTTTTTAATCTTCAATTTCCTTTTTCGTTCGAATCGCTAATTTTTGTAAAACCATTAATCGATAATAAAAGGATATAATTTCACAAATCCCAAAAGTGAATAATTTGCTTATAGAACAAAAGTTAGTGTGGCAAATAGGGGAAAATGGAAATAAAAAACCATTTTTTTTATCTAAATTTTTATTCTTCACGCAATAAATAAAAAAAAACCACAAACCACATTGGCAATGTTACATTCACATACACTTCATATTGATACCGAGAAAAATATCTGGCAATGATCAAGATGGGATAGTTTTTATATGAATCTGTTATTGATTTATACAAAATTGATTAGTTGGCACTTTTTTAATATTTCGATTGTTAAAATGCAAAAAAAATGGGAATTGTTATATTGAACTTGACCATTTCAAATTAAATTTGTGTTCCTTTCAATTTTCTCAGCTATACATGTTGAAAACAATGAAATTTTCTTTTAGACAGTGTTTCTGTTGACTGCCGAGAATCATTACTAAGTTGATCTTCATGAATTTACTAAATCCGAATAAAACACTGGCTAAATCGACTAGATTTTCAATGAGAGGAGATCCAATGCAGTTCTCATTAAACAAAAAAAAATTTGCAATCCATTTGATAGTCAATGAGATTTTACGTATACTTCCGCACACAGTATTTTTTTTAGTCATTTTTTTCGTGGACATCGTCTTCGTCCTCTTCATCTGCATCAAGGATGTCTGCACAGAAGATGGAGTACATGATGAGCGATAAGAAGCCGAGCGGAAGACCAAATAAAACGGATGTCAAAATTGGATTGCCTCTCCACATCTCTACCAAGAATCGCTTCGTTTCGAAGTAAGTGCGGTAGATTCGAACCGGTAGCGAATTTCCACCGTAACTCTGAAATTGAACAATTCATAGGGAATCAGTTTCACTCCAGAACTTTTTTTTAAAAAAATGTATTCATGTACTCACTCTGACTTTTTCGTGATGGATATTGTGCAGAAATAGTTCAATAGCATCAGAGGTCAGCCTCTCTGGTTCATCATCCGGTATATAATGTTCGTATGTACTGGTGTTCAATACAATCAAATGCGGTGTGGCCAATTGATCCATAACAATTGAATGAGCAATGTCTGGAGTGCCGATCCAACCGAATTGGAATCGTTCGTGGTATTTATCATATTTTTGTCGTACAATTTGTTCGACCATGTCTCTGAATTCCAATTCATGGCTTGCAATTTCGCTCAATTTATTCTCTTCAACCACCGCTAAAACGAGGAACTTTTGTGTTTGACTGATTTGATAAATGTTCGAGCGCGTTATTTTCGGGAATGAAATAAATCTCTCCTCGTTCACCCAATTGAAGAGAGTTTCATTCAGGAAGTCTTCCTCCACTAAGTGGAAATCGCTAGACACTATGTGGAAAAGATTGAAATTTCATCGGCATTAGCATTATCATAAGCAAAATTAATTTTCTTTCGAAACTGATTGAAAATCCGTTGAAATAAAACTGATGAAAAAAAAATGTTTACATGGGAAATGATAGTGATTGCTTTCTTTATAAACTAATACGGCTGGAAGTGTATCGATTTGAAAGTGTGGAGTGGCTAATTCGCGTCCGGTTGCATAAAAGTAGGCATGTGCTTGGAAGTGTTCGGCAATCCGAAGGAATTTATTCCACAATGACCCGTTTCGTTGTCCAACATAGACGAAAAATAGTTCATTCTGTGTTTTCAAGTAGTCTAAACTGTCAATTTGTGTGACTAATTGCACAGGCGGTCCGGACATTCGATATGCAAATGCTAGCATATCCTCTCGCACTCGGTCACCCGAATAAATGTACTCCTGTTCACCCTTGATGCTGAAAAAAATCCCAAAAAAAATGAAATACGATAAACCGAGAGGAAAAAATACAACGGCGCTTATCAGCACTGAAACATGGTAACATAAATACATCATAGTGTTATCACTTACAACATTATCGTTGGATATGATTGCACCTTGAAGTGTTGGCCAGCAACTGGAAAACGTGAGCAGTCAACCTTTCCCACACGAATGTTCGTATTGACAAGAGCCTGAGCGACATGGCCCCAAACGGGTTCGGTGCGTTTGCAATGTGCACACCACGGTGCATAGAACATCACATACCATTGACCGTCCTGTTTAATGTCAATAAATCGATCGCTCAGTTCCAATACCCGTGAACTCTGCACATTTTGTACTAATTTCCCAACGAGAATAGCTACAATACATCAAACAAAAAGAGGTGTTAATTGAATTACAAAAATCGATAACCGATAATGATAATGAAATTTTCGAGTTAAACACACACCCAATAACGATAATAAAATATAAAAATTGAAGCGAATTAAAGCCATGGTTTAGTAAAGGCTTTGATTTTTGGAGGAATAAATGCACCGTTTCTGGTTCAGAAGATTCTGTCTCGATTTGTGGATTTATGTTCAAGCAATCTGCATTTGTTTGGTAAATTTGGATTTCACTGATAAAATAACCAATATTTGCTGATAATACTGCTTAGTAATTCATATTGCGGCTTGTAATACAAAACTGAACGTTCTGCAACAGTGTTTGTGTCCAATTCCCAGTTGTTTATATTCTATTTGCATATTCTGAATTGAGTTTTGCACAGCACTTGTGTTACAACCAAATGCCTCATAAAATCGATTGACATTTCGTGTCAAAATCCACACTCGCATTGTTTATGCTGAAGTTGGCAACAAACAACCGTATCGGCATGGCATGAAATGTCAACGAAATATATCAAAACTTTGTAAACATGTGCGTTTAGACATCGAATGCTTCATAAAGCAGTGAGTGAAGTGATTCAAACGGTTTTTCAAAGTAAAGTGCTGAAGAGTTTTAATCAAAACTATAGTTCAATTTGTTAAGCGAAGACAAGACGCGCTTCAAGATGAAGGTTGAGGCGAAAAAACCAGGCCTGTGTAAAATACACAATGCACGATTCTATAACTTACCACCGCGTGCAATCAATAGCATGTCTTACAATCCGGAGACGTCTTGGCTGGCATTGACACGGTTCGTAAACATTTATCCTATTCAAATTGATGCAATTTTTTCACATTGATTTCCATAACAGGGATGATGCTTCGATTGAAATTTGGAATATTCAGCATGCACCTTACCTTCAACAAACAATAGCTGGTTCAGCAATCGCTTCAATCGAGGCGATTTCTTGGTGTGGCAATCGATTGTTCAGCACCGGTTTGACCGGTGAATTGATTGAATATGATTTGCGTACACAACAAGCCAGGCATAGGCTTCTATTGACTGGAAATGCGGCTTGGTGCATGGATATCAATCGACAGCGAACACATTTGATTGCCGGCACAGACAGTGGTTTTTTGAATTTATTCGACGTTAGTTACGAGAATGAAGTCAATTTTGTGAAAGTGTTCGATAAACAAGACGGCAAAATTCTATGCTGTAAATTCGATCCGACTGGTGAATTTGTGGCCACCGGTTCGGCGGATGCCATTCGTTTGTGGGAGCTGAAAACGGGTCATGCCATTTACAAAATGTCCGTTGGTCGCAGTGAAGCAAAAAAGGAAACAATCGTTTGGAGTTTACAAGTGTTGAAAGATTTGGTAATTATAGCTGGAGATTCGCGTGGCCATATCACTGTTTGGGATGGCAAATTGGGCGCACAAATCGATAATTTCCAAGCAACGACGTGCGGTGATGTTCTAGCCGTGACTGTCAATGAAGATGAAACAATATTTGCGTGTGCTGGAATCAATCCGAAAATTCGATGCTTTGCATTGACCGAAGTGAAAAGGGGAGACACAATTACAAAGAGCTGGGTGAAATTTGTCCAACGATCAGTTCATGAGCATGATGTTAAAGCATTGCAATTTGTTGGTTCACGCATTTTTTCGGGCGGCGTTGATGGTTATCTCGGCCTTTCGAATTCATCGAAAATCAAAGGTACCCAAACAACCAGCAGATATGGACCATTTTTAGAATCACCATCATCCGTTTTGGCAGCGCAGAAACGCGTTTTATTGCTGAAATATCCAAATTATCTGGAAGTTTGGCGGCTGGGCGTGCCCACTGCAAACGTTCAACTGGTTGACGATGAATCGGAAAAGAGGAAATATTTAACGCTACAGGAGGTAACACCAATATTCCAGTTCTTTTACGGCATTTTACAGCAAATTCGCATGACAACAATCTAACGAATAAATTTTTCTACAGAATTTGCACAAATTGGTCGAACTTCGTACGGTAGATGATGCTTTGATCGTGTGCACAACCATCTCACCAAATGGAGAGTTTGTCCTATACTCGACCAGTGAAACAGTTCGACTGTTTCATTTGACTTATGAGGTATATTTTCGCTGGAATAACACATTATCGTTAAATATTAATGCTGTTTTTGTTCCATTTTCTTCAAACAGAATAACAAAGTGGGTATTATCAACCGCTTAAAGGATTTACCAGAGCAGTTTACAGCATGTCGAAAGAGTGTATTTTCATCCGATTCGCAAACGATATATTTGGCAAAATCAGGCCTAACCGTTGATGTACTTAGACTACTTATAAGTGAAGACGCTGTTGATATCGACTTTGAAAGTTCAATAGACCTGAGTAAAACACTCAAAGGGCCTATTTCGCATATGATTTTGTCTGACTGTGGTAACTATTTGGTATGCGCTGATATTTGCTGTAATATCACAGTGTGGCGTCAAAATAAGCGGAGTTGGTCGCATCACATCAACTTACCCAAATACCATGTGTCACCAGTCAGCATTGCCATACACAAAAACTCGCCAAAACTTGTGGCCGCATTTGCCGATGGCAAAATATTCGAATATCATTTGGAAGAAATGAAATTCCTCTGCGCTACAACCACATTATTCTTGGAAAATCAAGATAGATTCCCCATCAAAAATATCGCTCCCGATCCGAATAACGAAGACATTTTCACCGTGCATAATGATACACACTTGTTTGTGCTTAAGAAGCAATTGGTATGTATTGTAAATTTGATTGAATACCCCAGAACAAATGAACCAATAGTAAAATGAATTTTGTTCTTCTCAGACACGTTCAAGTGGAAATAATTCGAAGCGGGCGAAGGCATCAGTTGATGATGATGAGGAAAATGTGGCCAACTTGGTATGCACTAGTCGTTTTAGCTATGAACATCTTCTTAACATCAACTGGTTGAACGATTCAGAACTGGTTGCCGTTGGCGTCAATCCAATTACAATGATCGCCCAGCTACCGTCATCACTCAAGGAGAAGCGATTTGGCGTATCATAAATTAAATATATATTTTAAGGCTAGTTATGACTTTAAACAAAAATGATGTTGAACGAATCATTCGGGTTGAATAAATGATTATGATCAAATGATTCGAAACCGTAGATTTTTATTTGAGATTCTTTCGATTCAGAATTGTTAAACATCCGAATGAATTCTAATACTTCATTGATCCTCTAATTAAAATACGTAATCTAAAATCGTTCCATTAAGTCGGTTTGATTTTCAGTGCGGTTGAGTTATTTTTTGCACAAAACTATTACAACAAATCCCTAAGAAGCTTCGTTGAAACAACGGTTCTAGCCAAATATACAAGATGTTGGATAATGGATATACCGAGTGGAAATTTGTTCCGAACCAATCTGAAGTGGTTGAATTAAGACTCCGTCAGAATGGTCGAGTGGCCTTATCCTCCGAGAGGAATATACGACAATTCACGGTCACAATCGATGTTTGATTAGCAAACTTTGCTTTCTTTAACCTTTTCTAACGGTCTTATCTTATTCATAAAATACCTTAGTTAAAAGAGAAATATCGAATCTCGTGCAGTTTTTCTCCACCTGTGTGAAATGCACCTGTGTGGAATACAATGTAACAAAGAGAATGTAGAACTATTGTTGCTGGGAAGCGAACGATTGTTTCAATCCATTGAAATCGAAGGTAAAACGAAGTTTCATTTTCATTTATTTTTATATTTGAGTGGCATACTGTTGTTGGTACATGCTAAAGGAGGTAAAACAAGTTGATCACCTGAATTGAGATGATATCAACATGTGAATGGTGCACGTCTTCATTTATCTCAATGAAAGTAAGTATTTTATGCAAATTTGTTTGCATACAAATTAACAATGCGCAGCATATATATGTACAAAGCGCAGCGATAGAGCACGGCCGATGAGTGAGTGCAACTTATTTTTTTCGTGTTTGGTTTATTGTCGGTTTGGTTGTCATTTATCATGTTGTTTGTTGCCTCTCTTTGTTCATATCCACGGAACGTGATTTAATGTCATTATAAATGCATCGACACCGAAATAAAATTGGTTTTCGTAACGTAACTGGGGTGTTTGTTTTTAGTTGAACTGTGAAAAAAAAATCGTTAAAACTGGATGGAAATAGAATGGCGCGCAATTGAGATCAATTTTTATTCGATTACATTTCATTCATTTCCAATTGCAATGTGTGTGTGTGTGTGTGTGTGTGTGTCTGTCTGTGTCTGTGAGCAAGTGCATATTAAGCATGATCTGCCCTGTCGAATGACTTTCACAACGCCGAATGTGTAATCAACCGACTCTGTTAGTTGTACTTGTCAATGTCTTGACACAACCATGCAACATTTAAAAAGAAGCAATCGAGGCTTCCAAATTTGGATTTGTGAACTTTTTTCTCCATTTGTACGATGAAAAGGCAATTATCATACAATGTAAATGCTGAATAAAGCAAAATCAAAATGGGGAAGTGACATGGTTCGAATGGTTCAAGATCAAGTGCTTTTGATAAAAAAAAAAGAAAAGAAAAGAAACAATTCGAGCAAAACCAAAAACGAAACAAAAGTTATTGAAAACACAAACGCAACCCTATTAAAATCATACAACCTAATCATATCAAATCAAATAAATAATATTAGTTGAATTTCTCTATCTGATTTCGTGTAACAATTCGATTGTAACAAAAGGCAATCATATATATACGTATGAATCGTTCAGTTCAATTTGCCAATGAACTTAACATTTCACTCGGCAAGCCCCATTATCTTCTGTGATGCGTTTTATTCTTTGACTCCTTTCTATCATTTCCATTATCGTGCATTTTCTGATTCCATGCATTTTCTTATTCACATTTAAAGCCAACCGTGCGTGCGCGCATCATATTTTCGACGGTGAAAAAAATTGCATTATTATAAATCCGATATTATGTGAAATTATTGATATATTTCTCTAGAAATAATGCAAACACACAGGTGCACGGTATTCGTTTATTTGATCTTAAGAGATTTGGGACATTAGATTGGACTACGAAGATTGAGTTTGATGAACTCGGAAAAATGGTTTTAAGTTCGCGCATATCAGTTTCTCAGTACTTTTTCTCGAAAATCGCAGAGCATTCGTTTTCATTTTTGTTTTGAATGGCTGACAAAAAGGAATCGATTTCACGAAATTTTGTAGCGACTGATTTGCAAACGCTTACTTCTCAACTGTGCCAATGAAAGAGGGAGAGAGAGAGGAAGACAGAAAAGACAAAACATAATACATCATGCCGGAAGAAGTGTAAACGCGATTCAAATGAGCTATTAAAATGCAGTCATCGTTTGAGTAATTGGCTGCGTTCACATTGTTTAGGCTGCATGAGTTTTTGTTGTTATTGTTGCTATTGCAATCATTTGAATGGTTAAATTACAATATAGTTGACACGATTCCAAAACCATTGTTTTTACCACATTCATACACGGAACAATCATTTTCTTGCCGAATCGATTTTGATTATTCCGTCGGTGAAAAATTCAGCCGAAAATCAATCAATTAGATCGTTTAAGGCATTCATCCTATTCTAATAGCCAGAGTCATTCGAAAATCGAATGGAAAATAACCCATGTAAAAAATGTTAGCACCTCAATATCATTCAATATAATTTATTGGCTGGGAAAGAGAGAATATTTCATGTTCAACATTAATTACCGACTTTATAGCGCACATCTTTAAGTCATAAATGCACATTCTCTTTTGTCGGGGATAATTACCAGATTTTATTTAGCAAAACTGCACATTGTCGCTGCAATTAGGTAAATGCACTCCATGAGGATTTCGTCGAACCCAAAGCGCATCCAAACACTTAATGAATCAATCCCATGGAATTCTTCGATTAAAAACAACAACAAAAACAACAACATTTATCAAACCAAACACGAAAAATGATCGGAAGAAATTTGCATCATGTTTTCCGTTTTATATAACATTCCGCTGATTGGAGACATCTTCATAATCGATCTCTTGCAATGGAAAACATGTGAACCACATTAGCATAATATTTTCGAATGCATTGAAACTCTTTCGTTTGCTACCACACGGGGGCGGGCCAAGCCAACAAAACAAAGGAAGTAGTAAAAAGTTTGTTTTCGGAATCCAATGAATGAATGAAATGAACAAAGTAACAGACGCCGATATAAGTGTATATAAATCATGCAAAATTATGCGGTAGCTTAACAGCAGTTCCCATCATTTGAAGCGTGATGCTACCGATGAAGATGATAATGCTAAAACAACATGCGCAAAAATACAATGTCGATGAGTATTTTGGATGCGACGAACTAGAGCAACACTAAATTGCTGTTGACAATGCATGTCTTATGAACTTTTATTTTTTGCACATATCAATTTGCTTGATTTCCTAATTTGACACATAGAAACGTCGGCGGCTTACAATTTCACATTGATTTCCTGGATCATCTCAACACTACTGATGCACCGATTCAGATTTCACATACGTGAGTGGATCATCTGGGAAGCTCAGAATTATGCATACTTTCAATGGAACTAGATGCTTCGTTGATGCCAAAATTTTCAGTGCAGAAGAACTTCGGTGGGTCTGTGTAAGGTATAAGGTAAGAAGTGTAGGTGCATGCAGTATTATCCAAACATCAAAAAAAATGTAATTGCGCAAGCTATTGTTACCTGTTTGTATCCCACACGAAATGAAAAATCCATCGTCTTCTTGGCATTTTGTGTGTTTTAAATTATGTGACTTGGATTCAACCGCTCGAAATGCATCCAATACATGCAAGCAGATGAATGCCATCCGCTATGAGCACTGAACACATTTGTTAAGGCACATGTATACTCGCATTTTTGTATCTTATTTATACAAAGTGATTTTCTATTCGCATTCCTACAACTACAAGATGATGATTGTAAATTTCAACGAAAAAAAAAACATGTTGAGATCTTCAATTCGCTTGCATAATGCCATCAAACTGCCGCAATGTGTGATACATACACTTCGAATGATATTCATAGCCTTAGTCCTTTTTTGTATATTTTTTTCGGGCAAAAGTGGTTCCATTTTGAATGTGGAACTTAATTAAAAGCGTTCAAATTAGGGGCGAGACACAAATTCTAATAGAGTCTAGTTACATTCAATTTTATATAAAGCCTCTAATTTTTCTAGTTTTGGTGCAAAAGTGGCACTTTTAAAGTGCTAATATTGTGCTAATATATCTAGTGAAATCGGTTGCAGAGCATATTACACTGTCAATACATCGTTTATGGAAGACCTAACGGGACTATTTTGTAAACAATAAACAATACATCCATAAGCGTTAACATTGACAAACCGAATTCACTAATTTCTTCTATTTTTCCTATTATCGTTGAATAATGTTCTAATTCTACTCATTTAAGTTCCGTGTCACCCCCCTAATTTCCACACATTCTATTCTAAATATTGAACCGTTCAATTTGAATGTTCTAACTTAAATGAGAACACAATATTCAATCCAAAATCATATATGAAATTTGTTTCTTCAATTTCTTCAAGAGATTGTAAACCAATTTCGTTTTTGTGAATTCAGATAAATGTTCGAATCAATGAACTTGGCACAAATTTTCATCGTGAAACACATTAAATGATCTTATGAAATTTTATCTATCTATAAACCTTTTATGCTCAAAATAAAGTGGTTCAAGTATCCATAATTTGAAAAATCGTCACGAATTTTCTAAAAAAAAATTCTCCAAAACGAAGCGATGAAAAGCAATGAAGAGGTTAATGGCGATGTCAATAATAAATTAGTCGAAACAATTACCATACTGATTTTACTAGCATATTTTCCTCTTGTTGCGTTAATTCATGGTACATTTTGCATTGCAGCCGGCAATTTTCATTAGTGGTTTTTGAATTGAATTGTTTCATGCATGCACTCGTTTTCACTGCGCATCACTTTTGATGTTTGGATTTTTTTTCGAATGTGGTACATTTTCCCAGCACTTTCATTGGTTGCAGTCTAATGTAAATACGATACAACAGTTTTAGCCAATTAATAGAAATTTGGCCTATGAAAAACAGCTTGTGCATCGTGTATACGTGCATAAATGTTGATGAATGAATTA